AAAAAAAAATTCTACCAATCTGAAAAGACAGAAACTGCCTTTTGTAGAATTTGCACGGAAATATCTGAACACAGAGTTAAGTTCAAAATATTCCAAATCAAAGGAACATTTAAAATAGCCTCCTTGCATTGGTTGAATTCTGGAAGGATGCCTTGTTCCTGGGCATTTCCCATTGCATATCTGTCCACTGCTGCTTTCACTTGACATCAGGTAACAACCTGTGTTCCTTTGAAAAGGTTTAATAGTTTAAAGGTTCTCTTGAAGAGCTGTACCATTTACATCACCACTGAAAACCTGTCTCATTTTATACCTTAGTTCTCACACCGCATCTCAAAACAAATATTAGCTTTTTTAACTTCACAAATCTTGTCTGATTTTTTTTTTTTTTTTTAAGAGTATCTCGATACCTTCAACACATAAACACATATTTTTTTGGTGCATGGTACTCAAGAGACCCTGATTCTGACCTCAATTTCTTTGGCAACAGCCAAATATTCCAGTACAGGATGAGGGAAAACACACTAACTAGTCTTAACACTGTGATGCAGTTTGAGAGATCACTAGCAGCCTCTCCATATTACAGATAAGGAAAGACTAAAACAGAAAAAAACAGCCAAATAAATAGAAGCAGAAAGCCAAACTTAGAAAAAATAAAAATAGAAGTGAGCTCCACACAGGATAGAAGCAGCAAAAAAAACCCTGCTCTGCTACAGCACAGGGCACGTGCCTGAAGCTGAGGACACCTGGGTATTATTCCTGGCTGTGGTCCTGACTCCTTCTAGATGACTGCACCAGTTCATGTCACACCTCCAGCAGGCTCCGCCTTCAAGTTTCCCATCTGGGCTCCAGGGTCAGCAGTGGTGAACCTTCTCCTTGCCAAGGATGGAGGACACTAAATACTACTGGCATGCCACACCTCAACGTGGCCCTTAGCACTGCATGACAGCAGCACAACCGCTTCCCAAACCAAGCCCAAGAAGTGTGGGCCACAGAAAACAGGATCTGGATGACAGTCCCCCAGATCTCACATTCCCACCATGAGCTTTTTAAGGAAGGCTCGGTTGCTATTTATTTGTACCCTGCGTGGGGCAGTGTTATTTGGAGCTGTTATTGTGATTCTATAAGCAAGCAGCGACACTGGTAACAGTTGATTAAGACTAGAAAGAACAATAACAAACGGGAAAAAATTTCTCTGGAAAGAAATGGAGGGAATCAAAACAACAACAAAAAAGGGAATTCAGTAGGACAAAAAAGGAGGAAAGCAGATGATGAAAAGATAACTAGAAGGAAGGAAACCTAAAAAAGATAATCGAAAAGTGAAAAAGGCATCCAAAGGAATATATCTGACTTCATTTCAGCCAAAAACATGGTGTGGGGTTTTTTAATAACAACACTGAAACTGGGTAATCAAACAAGCAGTATTTTGCTTTGCCCCACAGCAAGTATATGAATATAGACTTTTAAATTTTTAAGAGAAAGAGTCCAAGCCCTCAATGCACTTGTTCTCAGAACTAATGCTTTAACCACATTAGCAACAGCTTATGACAGGACTGCAGAGTAACTATGATTACCTCTCTATCTAGAAGCTACTTTTTCAGAGTCATCATCCTTACTATAATTTTGCAGTTTTTACAGACCCTTGTCTTATCTTGAGATTCCTCTCTATTTTATATGGTAGGAGCTAAAGAGGTTTTGTTCCCTTTTTTTCCCCCCTCCATTTCTGTGTTTTTAAACTGCCCTTAACTGGACACACATGGCAATGCCAGATATGAAGAACTGTGGATCACTACAACTACGGGCAAATATTTTAGAGAATCAGAAATTTAATTGCATATCACGTTACTCCAACTTCTCTGCCCTTCCTGTCACTTCACCTGCTCGTAATCATTAGAAAGCAGAGTGTCAGTTCTAAGCTGTAGTTGAGCACTAAAAGCACCACGCTGGCCCTCACTGGATCTATTTAATTAGAGATTAGGAGAGACAAAGCATGGGGAGAATATAAACATGATTTTACCAGTCTATCAGTAAACAGGTTTGGGTTACCAAAGAGATAAGACCAAGGCTGCCTGTTTTATCCGTGCAGCCGGACCGGCGAGTTTACTTTCACTGGAACCACGCCTCCATCAGAATTCCCTCCGAAATGTCAACGTGAACCATATTATTAATTTTCCAAGTTGCTGACCTTTAGTGTTGTCTGCATCATAAATCCAGAATTGCGAACTGTTTCTGTTCGTACAGGAACGTGCTCCACGCATCTCACGGTATCTGAACTCTGCACACAGGCTGCTCACACGTCACAGAACAGATGCTCGCTGCAGCATCCCTGAAGAAGCTGCTGAGTTGGACCTTCCTAGTTCCACAGAGTCCACCAAATTAGCATCAGTTATCCTATCCAGCACAAAGGCAAAGAGGTTTCCTAGGTTCCCCCAAAGTTCTTGGTGTATCCTTGCACAAAAAATATTGTTTCAGAGTATTTTATCAAGGGTCATAGCATACAGTCACATTAAAGTAAAATAATTTGATTGTGAACTTGAGTTTAATTTCAGTCAGGAAGAAGGAAAGAAAAAACCCAAGTCCTTGGATTAGAAGACAGTCATTCCCCACTTACAGCTCCTCCCAATTAAAATGTTTTATATAGATCATCAGAACCTAATGCATCATACACGTTACACAGTGTGCAACATAAGGCTGTCGGTCTGTCATTTCTCTGGAAGAGCTCAATGTGATGAATGATCTGGTTACTCCTCTTTCTGGCATAAAAGCTGGAGAAGCTTTGAGACAAAGAAATAAAGGCCAATTTACAGGGCTTAATATTATCCCCCCTGACTCACACCTCTGAAAACAGTTAAGGTCGCTATTTCTCCTTTATATTGACTGTGGATTTCAGTACATCACATCAGAACCCTCCAAACAATTGAGAGAATTTAATTTAAAGCAGAAGCAGGAATGTCAGGAACATATAGCATTTGGGCTACAACAAACAATGCCACACCAGCATGTCATATGAAAAATAACTGACCTTCCCTCTTGCCTCTGCTGACAAACAGACACACTTTAAGACACTTGCAGGCCAGGATGTCAGTGTGATTTCTGGAAGACAATCTAATAAATAAAGACTTAGTTTTTAAAACCTCCCAAAACTGACTACTTATTGCCTGAACTGAAAAACCTGCCTTTCCAAATCAACTAATGGTTTGGCAAGCCCACTCAAAAGGCAAACAAAAAAAAAAAGCATCTTTTCCTTTTAACATGGAATCTGCAATAAGAAAAAGAAATCAGGATTTTATTGATTTCCATAATGCCATCTCTACAGCTTAACAAACTCACTCAGTTGCTAATGCACTGATGCTATGGAGCCTTCCCATATAATTATACACCCTCCACTTTGCTGAGCCCCAGGGCGCTGTTTCCAACTTTCCAGAGGACCACTGCACCAAAAGTAGAAATAAAAAAACCTCTCTTTCATTACCCAAAGCAAGCTGCAAACCGAATTTTGCTTATTTAAATGGGAAGTTAGAGAGACTTAATTTTGAAGGCAGGGAATAATCTGCCAGTCTGCATATATTTTCAGGTTTGATATCGTGACAATGAACTCTCACTTAAAACTCTCCCCACTTCTAATATTTTTTTCTTCCTAAGAGTACACAAAATACAACATATAAATATTGCAACAATTACGATTTCCAGGGAGAGATTCTAAAGTCCTTCTCAGCTCAGAAGTGTTTCAAGAGGGCAATTCAGAATCAGACATGGAGACTTTTGTGAATGTCACTGTAATTAACGTTATTAAAAAATTACAAAATGCTACCATTCCTATAGGGAATATTTTGTAAGCTAATGTATACTTCAAATATGTTTTTATTAGGTTTTTGTTTTAAAAAAGCAACTCTGGAACACCTCCTAAACAAAATTTAAGGAAGATACCTTCTCAAAGTCTAAAATCAAAGATGTCCTAAATAATTAATGCCATTTTTCTCAATTTCTCAAACAAATTCAGCAGTCCATATCCAAACAGGGAGCTCCAGTATATTTCAGTGAGAGTTTTGTTCAATTAGGGACTGCAGAATTTGGCCCAATTAATCTAGTACTGTCTATCTGGAAAGAATGTAATGCAACTCTGCAGTGTAAACACCCTCCCCAGTGACTGTACCCAGAGTCCCCTTTCCTGCTCCCCCTGTTTATCCTGCCTTGATAATTCAGATCCAACTGCACTGTATTCATCATGTCCATCATGATTCAATGTGCCATTTGCGCTACAATAATTAATTTTGCTATGGTTTCCCAAGCATATATTAATTTGGAATCGGTAAATCTTATTTCCTCTGAGAAATTTCCTCAGAACTGGGTGGATTTTCGTTCAACAAACAAACAAGTTGACAGTATCAATACAGAGTTGGAGAACCACTAAAAACAATCTAGTTTGCATAATTAATGTTAATTACAATAACATCTCAATCAGTGACACAAAGGCTTAGCAATGAACACAGTCATAGGAGGAAGTGAAAACATCAAACAAACATGAAAGGTTCTTGTCTTGTTCTGAAAGAGTATCAAGCAAACTTTCAAGAGATTTATAAATAAGAACAGAAAGGCAGAAGACAGTTCTGCTTTGTTAGACATATTTTCTTTACAGGCTGCTTAGTACGGGAGCTTTCTTCTGAGAATGTAACAAGACAGTGGATCTGAGCTGTGGACACACCAGATAATACTATCTTTTTACAACATCACATCCAAGTCATTAGCAACTGCTTTAAAGAGAAACAACTGGCGGCCCGATCCTTCTGCCAATGATTTCAACAGCAAACAATTAAACAATGTTTGGGATTCTAGAGACAGAGGGGAATTTAAAAAAAAAACAAAACAACTCCAACTTGAACTCAGTGTGTAGGTATGGAATCCCTCAGGCAAAGAGGAATTTCAGGACAAGATAATTAATATTTCAACAATCTTTTTCCTATTTCCATAGCAACAAGGGAAATCTAAACACACAGAAAACTTACCTGTTTCACTTGGCAGCACAGAAGTCTTAAAACAGAGGGGTTTTTTTGGTACGGTCACTTAACGGAGCAGATTTACATTTAACCCTCAGAAGTCTTCCTCACGGCCCAAGAAAAATACTTATCCAACATATTCTCATTTTAGAGGAAAGGAGGAGGGAAAAAAAAAGTCATGAAAAAATAAGCTCCACTCTACCTCACCCAGGTCGGTGCCGTAGTACACAAGTAGTCACACGGGCATCGCAGGGAGTACCTGCGCAGTGAAGCGCCACTCCGGGTGAGTAAGGGTGGTGTAATTGGGTCTGATGAGGGAAGGAATCAGAGCCTGTCACTTCATTACTACAGGGGCCTTTCTGAAAACACGAGTTTCTTGATTACTCTTCACATTAATGCAAATCTGCTCCGTTAATGAAGTCACACTGGTGCTAAACTGGTACCAGAGGAGAAACAGGCCCTGTTTCATATTGATTTAAGGGACCACAGCTCAAGGACCTCCCCATAAAGGTAAAATTTAGGAAGTTACCAGGTTATGTTGGGCAAGATACTCCTTGGGAAAAGGACTGATTTTCTATTTGGTATCATTCTCACAGCTGATTTTTTATTCCACTCCCTCTCTTTATAGATAAAAGCAAGACAAGATGTGGTAAAGACTTCATTTCCTCTAGAAATTTACTGATCTTAAGCACACTTAAGACTACACTTGAGTACCCAGTGAGTAAAGCCACACTTTACTAGTATTTATTTACAAGGGTGCTTGCCTTAAAAAAGAGAAACTCCATGTGGAGGATTCCCAGAATGATGCTGACCTTTCCTCTTGACAAAAGTTCAGTAGATTTATTTTTCAGATGCTTGAGAAAGATGATTTTGGAGCGCTGTGAGGTTTGGTAAACCTTCAATTTAGCAATTAGCTTCCATATGATATGAATTACAAAGATCAAGCAATTAATATTAATAAATAAACCCAGTAAAGTACCGAGGCTTTGGACACCCTGTGTATGGAAAGGCTGCTGTATCTGCTGAGGGTTTTCCATGCCTCTGTTTTATTTTAGCTACTCTGAATGTACAGCACATCAGAACATATAGCACATTCACGTTTCTAGAAATGCATTAAGGAGAGAGAGAGAGAAAAAAAAAATTAAAACCCAATAGCAGTAAAACAGAGACATAACGTGAAATGGTTAAGCACTCCCAAAATCAAGCCAAAGCCACCAAAACTCCCCGCTGCGGACCACGGCTTCCCCCTTCCACAAAAGGCAAGTCAAGCCCAGGTAACACCTAAACATCCAGGAACGACAGGGTGGGGAGGAGGATGGAGCGACCTAAGAATACAAAAGGTGGGTTTCCCCCGGTTTTCCAGGATGGACAGTGCCCTGAGCCTGGTACGGAGGGGGGAAGGGGGGGGTCTGTTCGACCCATGGGCGGCTTTTCGGAATACCCTCCCCATCACCACAGCCTCAGTCGGGGGGGGAGGGGGGAATAAATAAAACAAAACCCACAAAATAAACCGCACAAAATAAAAATTCACAAAAACAAAATAAAAATCACCACCGCCGGCAGCACGACGCGCATTAGAAGTTGGCAACGGCGCCGGCGGGGTTAGTACCTTAATTTTCTTTTTTTCCCCCCCACCCACCACCCCTTCTGTGGCGGTCCGAGCGGGCAGTGCCCAGCGCCGGGAGAGAGGGATGCCCCAACTTCGGAGCAGTTGCGGTGCCCGCGCCCCCCGCGCCCGCCCGGAGGGGCCGTGCCCGGCACTCACCCGCTCCGGGGGCTCCGCGGCGAGGACCGGCGAGGGGAGCGGGGGGTCTGCGGAGAGCGGGAGGGGTGCTGGACGGACACACACACACACACACACACACACACAGAGGCGAGGGGAGCGCTTTAAACCGCGGGGAGGTCGCTGCGAGACGCGCGGCGCTGCCCGGCTCTATCCCATGCCGCCGCGGCGGCCCCGAGCTGCGCGGGGTGAGCCGGGCGGGCAGGCGGCGGCGGCGGGGAGGATGTGACACGGTGACAAGTGCGGCCCGCCAGCCCTGTGCCGGGGGAGGGGGGCCGGGGCAGCCCAGGCAGCGCCGCCCGCCCGCACACACGGCATTGACGGCGCGGCCGTGACTCACACGCGGGAGTTGGTCACAGGGCGGCACCGCCGAGAGGGGGAGGCAGCGAGGGAGGGAGGGAGGGAGGGAGGGGGGCGGCGTCCCGCCCCTCGGCCGCCTCGCAGCCAATGGCGCGCCGCGGTGCGGCGGATTGGCAGCGCGAGTGGCCAATAGCCGCGAGGGGCCACCGCCAGCGCCCGAGCGGCCCCTCCGGCCCAATGAGTCTTCTGAGGACACTCCGCCGCCAGGGGCCGGGGGGAGCCCCGCGGGGGCGGGCGGCCGGGCCACCGAGACCAATCAGCGCTCAGGGTCGCGTTGATGGGCGGCGCGGGTGGCCAATGAGAGACGCGCGGGTGGTGGTGGGGGGGGGGGAGATGGTCACGCAGGGAGGGAGCGGGGGCGGTGGAAGCTCCGCGGGCGGGGCGGGGTCGGCGCCTCAGAGACCCCGGGCAGGGGAAGGGCTCGGCCCGGGAACCTCCTGCTCCGCGGGCGGCTCCGGGGCGGAGCGGGGTTCGGCCCCGGCGCCGCCAAGGTCGTTTCCCGGGGGAGGAAGGAGAGCGGGGCCGTGGGCCCGGTGCGGAGGAAGCCGGGTCGGCCGCGCTGGCACCGCTGAAGAGCCTGGGGAGGAGGGGGTTGTGAGATCCTCGGCTTTCCCGGGGCTTGGAAAGTGGGAAGTTGGGGGTTGCCTGTGTTTGACAGGTGTCAAGGGGCTCAAGGTCCTTTTTTTCCTTCTTTTTTTTTTTAAATTTATTTATTTGTTTATTTACACAAAGCACATCCCCAGGACGAACCCGGCGCGATGTCGAAATTCGACCGGATGAATGAAAAATAAATAAATAAATAAATAAAATGACAGTAGTAGCCCTGACAGCATAATTCCTCCTCTCGTGCTGATGAGGGGGGGGAAGGATTGACAAGTAGGAACAGTGTCAGTGGAAAGTAGAAAAGCAACATTGTTTTGACGAATGATTAATATCGGAGGAATTTATTTTGGGTATGGGGAGGAAGTAATGCCCAGCAGGAGTTTCCAACAAATGCTGGAACCCCACCAAAAATGTAATCCCCGTGAAGGAAGTGAGATGCTCAAATTGTGTTTCACCTCTTCATCTCTACACACGAACTCTTACACTAAGACCTCGGGTTTTTGCAGTAAAAGTATAAAATAGCTGATAAGAGTTATGTAAGATAATGAGATAACACTATCAGACTAAGGGCCTACATTGGCATTTTCCCAGGCTGCAAAAATACAGTTTTGTTTGCTTTAGAAAACTTGTTCCCTCATCAGAATGCTATAAATACAGATTTTTTTTTTTCCCCCATATTTTGGCATTCACAGTAATTGTGGAGCTGAAAAACCACAACCTGCAATAATTTCTTCATGTTTTTCAGTTTAGAAATAGCGGGACTAATTACAGTTTTTTCCTGCTTGCTTTTATCGAAACCCTGGGAGCTGGAGCAGAGATTTCACAGTTCCTCATTTGAAGCAGGAATTGTTAAATCATACACCCCAAAAAAAAAAAAAAGGCCTTCAGATTTGTGTCTTAGTATCGAAGGCCCCTTACTGTAGTAGTCCTTGCTGTAGTGTCTTGCAAGAAATCCAGGATGGATGGTACTCACATGGCTGTAATATGAAAAGGGGAGAAAATAAGAGCATTAAGGCCATCCTGTCAGGATAAAAAAAAGGGAGGGGGAAAAAAAGATGGTGGGGGTAAGATTAATTTCAGCTAACCATTGGGAATAATGAAGGATTTTTATAGGTGGTCCCTATATTTTAATTGATAGCAAAAGCAGAGAATTTAGGATCTGTCATCTTTTTTTTCCTTTCCTCCTGCCATTAGCAAGAGGGTAAAATACTTGCAAGGTTCTGCAACCTTCAGCAGTGCTCACACTGAGTCATGCTTAGGGACTTGTGAACGCTGCACAAGAGAGGGCTTTGCATCAGGTCCTGTGCAATTTGGCAAACAAAAAGAACAGAGTATTCGCCATTCAGCGATAGATGAATAAATATATATATATGTATACACACACACACCCCCCTCCTCTTCAAAGAACTGAAAGGGGTGGAATCTCAGGGCAGAGGACTGTCTTTTTGTAGTTGGTTTTTTTCTTTAATAGCAATATTGTAAGAGAATTGAGACAGAAATTGAGCTCGTGAATTTGGGCAGGATTGTTTCTGGACGGTGAGAGTCTATAAGCAATCATCCCGCTCCACTGTGCAACCTACAACAGGGTCTTCACACAACGCTCCCAGGGACAGCAGCCAAGGGAATATTTCATATCATCCCGGTGCTGCAGCTTTCCCAATATACAGCAGTTTTTCTTCGGGGCCAGCTCTGGCAGGGAAGCAATTATATGAAGGCTTTTACTTTTAAAATCTCAATTTCACAGTTACAGGGAAAAGCAGCACAGCCTGCCTGCCAAAGGTGATCTCTGTCTGAGGTGGTTTGTTTTGGGTTTTGCAAGTTTGGTTGTTTAGGGCCAGTTGTTTGTTTAGTTTTGCTTCAGCTGAACTAAGCCAAGCTACTCCTCACTTAGACTGGGTTTAGGAATTGCAGTGTTTCTACCAAACTGCTTCAAAATGCTGACAATTAGACTAATGCTGCCCAGACAAGGATCAGCTCAGCAGGGATAGTTGGTGTCCCTGGCTTGGAGATTCAGCAGCTCGCCCTCTGTAATTTGTGGGGGAAGGTCGTGTGTCGTGGATTTGGCTCTGGCTTTACCTGAGAGAACCAAACCACAAAACCCAAAGTAAAGAGAGCTCAGGCAACCAGGTCTGCTCAAGGTGTGTCGTGTGCCTGGAGCCAGGGCAGGTTCCAGGGTCTTCATGCAGCTCTCCCACCCTTGTAAGTGGGGAGTAATTCCCCTGAAGCTCACGGGTTTGAGGTTTCAAAGTCTGAAGCAAATCAGGGTCTGGAAGAGGGGCCTGATCCCTCCCTGCTTGCACATCCCAAGCAGTCAGAAATCTTTGATCCCATGCAGGTGCCCTGGTGACATGAACTTCAGCTACGTCTTCTAGGGTGCCTCAGAAAGTGTGTATCAGTTTGAAGAGAACACTTGCTAAAAATCTTTCTCTTCTAAGCATAATTGAGATGATTTTGTTGATATTTTCTCACAAAGACCTGGAAGCCTGGCTTT